ACTATGTAGCAAGTCTCATTGAAATATGATGATTAGTACTTGAGATATCAGGCAAAAAGCTGAAAATTAACTAATTATGCTAATAAGGTAATTAATATGCACAAATATTTACCCAAAAACTAATCAGGGGTCTGCAGTCTTTAAGTAAATATGTACCAAGTGTCATTGAAATGTGATGATTACTACTTGAAATATCAAAAGCTGAAAATTAATTAATTATGCAAATTAGGTAATTAATATGTACTGATATTACCCTAAAAACTATCAGGTCTGTATCTATGTACCAAATGTCATTGAAATGTGATGATTAGTACTTGAGATATCAGTGGAAAAGCCAAAAATTGATTAATCATTATGCAAATTAGGTAATTAATATTGCACAGATTTGTACCCAAAACTAATAAAATCTGCGCATTAGTTTGGAGCATCTATGTGCCAAGTTACATCAAAATCCAATGAGTTGTTCTTTAGATATCAGTGGAACAGTCATGGAACAGCTAAAAATCAGCTAATTATCATGCAAATTAGGTAATTAATATGCATGGCTTTTTTCCAAAACCTAATCAAATCTGGGCATTGGCCCAGAGCATCTATGCACCAAGTTTCATAAAAAAATCAATGTATGGTTCTTGAGATATCAGGCACACAGAAAGACACATTAACTGCAAAGACTCCCTTTTTGTGCTTCGCACACGGGAGGCAAAAATCATGAAATGTGCCTCTGTTTTATCAGTTGAAACAAATCACTATCATTCATACTTACAGTCTGATCAGCTAACTTGCTTTGTCGTCGTTTAATTTGTTCAAGCAGATCCTTCATTTTATCATTAAAAACAACTTCTCCATCAGAGAAATCTACATAAAGCTGATTACCAATGAGGGCACCAAGCCAGTTCTGAGGGCTGTAAGACTTCATTCTCAGTGGAATTAGTGGTTTCTTTCTGCTGAATACGTATTCTCCTTCTGAGCAATACAAATGAGTATAAACACTGTGATAAATCTATCTGCCTAATTATTACCATCTAAGGCAACATGAAACCCTAAATGTGATACTCTCTACTATTAGCATGATAGTATCATAAACAATATATATACTTCCTGTCATCAGAGATATTAAAGCTACAGAGTCGTCACCTGCGTATGCGTCAGATGGCCATAGCGTGTCTCTGTTTACAAACAAGCGTCTACCCATGAACCTGTGCGTTTTAGGGTGTGTTGTTATCGTCGCTCAAGACTCAATTCCTGCTATAATAATACTAATAATAATAACTTTATTACACTACTATGCCATCAGAGGACGCAGTAAGATAAATAAAATAAAAAAAAATTAAAAATACTATGATAAGATAAAAATATAATTTTAAGAGACGTTAAAAGCTTAATTGGAAAAACATTTAATGTTAATTACAGGATTCTCCCACTGTAGAGGTGATAGTTTTCATATACTTGATTTCTGTTTTGCTTTACCTTATAACTTTTCTAGGGGTATAAAGCAAGTCATTATTTTAATGAAATTCTCTGTTTTATTTAGTTTATTTTTAATACCTATTTCATGAAACAGCTTATTTATCATAAAATTCACATTATAGGATTAAATGTTGTTCGTCCTCAACAGAATTTGTACAAAATCGCTCTTTCGCAGGAATTTTTGGTCATTGTCTTCTGCCTCTTTCAATTTCTAAATTGTGATCACCAAGCCGAATTAATGTATCTGCACTTACAATCTAAAACATCTCTAAATGGTAGTACACATGTACCAGCCGGTATTCTGAATTTTTTAAAATAAACATTTTTTTTGTGGAATTTACATAATATAATAATCAGCTGCAATAGCTTCATATTTCTTAATCAATGTAATACAAAGTGTTGTACCAAATGAGTAAACACAGGGGAAATGCCAGGTTAAGTTAAATGGCTACCAATAAATTAAATGATCTGATTTTCTTTGAATTTTGCAAATATATGGTCTTCAAAACAACTTTTCCACAAGAAGCAGATCAAACCACTATGAAAATGGGTATTTTTGCTCTATTGTAATTTTATTGGTTTCTATAGTAAAAGTGTTCACCATATCTTAAAATTAGAGTTGGAAAAAAACATAATAATACAGGATGGAAAACTTTGCTTGTTACAAATTTTTAGGATTAGATTAACATGGATTCTTATAGAAATTGTTACAAAAATGTAATTTTTAGCATTATTCCTCGCAGTTTTCTCCCTTAAATAATTATTATTACTAGTAGTTTAGTTATTAGGAAAACAAATCTGAAAAGTTAATAACATGTGTTCAAATCAATATTTAACAGTTTTGAAGTGAAATAATTTGTTAAATTTATTAGATTGAATATCCTCAATCTACCCCAAGTAAATGATTCAGCACAGTGTGTTAAATCCAAATATACTGACCTGTTCTACAATTTGTACTATTCTGATAGGACTGACAGAAACATAGTAGTACAATGTCTGCATCTTGTACAGCATGTGCCATAGCATCTAAGATGGAGTCTGACATGTGTTCTACATCTATCCATGTCTTGTATCCATGTTCCTTTAATTTCTCATTAATCTTCAATACCAATCTAATGCACAGAATAAAATAGTTGTATATTTATTGAAAGCCTTACATATGAAGTATACTAGGACACAACACAATTGTGAACACTAAACCAGATTTAGTAGTCATGACATAGATACATAAAAGGGATAGCTTATGGCTAAAGGGATAACTAGTTACATGTAATGGTATGTGCATCTAATCCTTGTTGATTTTGCTGCATAATAGTAAGGCCACACCGACTTAATTTTATGGATGACATCCGCACGCGCATTAGTTTTCGCCTGTTCTCAAAAAAAAAAATTTCTAACGAGTCTCCACAGATCGATTTTCTGTCCGGAACTGTCGTAAAACTCGTTTTCGACTACCTCAAACCTGCCAATTTTGTCTTAAATGACCTTCTTTACTTGTGTATTGCATTGCCGGGAATTCCAACATGGCGACCACGCCACCAAAATACATGAGCATAAAAGTTCAGAGGAAAAAAGGAGGGATTGTTGAAGACTGGTACGCAATTGACGCCGGTCAGGGAGAGTCCTATGGTTTTAGTAGGATTTTTTTTTGGCAGGTTTTTTTTTTTTGCCCTCTCGCATTAGTTTGGGGTCTCCAGAGGATGTCATCCATAAAATTAAATCAGTGTGGCCTAACTGAATTATTTTTTATTTAAAACATCACTCTGTCATACATTGATTTTTCAAATTTTACATTTGGTGAGTGCTAAACTAAAAAGTACATACATGTAATATTTGATGCTCAACATTTTTTTGGACACAATTTCAACAGAAGTGAATAAACCATGTGTAATTTTAAAGAAAGAAATCTAATGGTTGAAGAGATAATGAATCAAGGAATTGGTGTGCATCAGACACATTTTAATAAGAATTGCTTTACATCAATTATTTTATTTTGTGATGAAGTCATCTATACATGTAGATATTCTGCATATAATTTTGAGACTTTGCGACAATCCAATACACTGAAAACTTTGATATCTTGCAAATACCATGACTTAGGCATTGTGTATACATGTACAATGCTTATTGTTCAAATGTTATGGCATAGTCTTAGTGTCTGTGGTTATAAGCTTCCAATAAAAGCAGATAACATTACAGATGCAAGTATACTCATTTATTGGGAAGCACTAAGTAGAGGACAATAACTTGTTTAAATATTGAGGTGCTTGACTATTTTTACTAAACAAACCAGTTAAAATAAATATTATCAGCATTATAACAAACACTGTATGTAAATATGTAATTCCAATTCAATCTTGATAGGTTTGATGTTAACATGATGATCACCGGTAAAATTACTTAGTAAGTTCAATGTAAATTAGTCAGTTATCGATAGAATTGCCAAACTAAATGCTGACTGTTTACATTTAGTACAGCAATTTCAGAGAGCAGCCAGTGTTTTATCGATTGAGTTTTGGGACTAAGCTCAACAACTAAATCAAAGAAATTCATTTGCTCTGGACACTACTTCATTATATATCCATGGCATAAACAGCAAGTTAAAATAGTTAGTAATATCTTACTTTTGATTATCCCAGTTGTAACTCAGCATAATATGACCTTCTTTTCTCTGTGTTGGAGGTGGTGGAGGAAGAGGCCCATGAGAAAAGACTGCAGGTGCAGCTGGTGGAGGAGGAGGGGGAGCAGCAGCAGGAGGTGGTGGAGGAGGTGGTGGTACAGGAGCTACAGATTTCAGCTGTAAATCAACCTCAGTTGTACCAGTGCGTTTTGCAGATCCTGGCCGAATTATAACATCATCATCATCTTCGCTATCAATTTCCTGATCGATATCAACATGTTGATGCCCATCTGTTGACGTTTCACCTTGTGAAACAAATACATCATCATGCATATAATCCTGTAGAACCAACAAAGCATTTGCAGAATTGCGACTGACATGATTATCGGGAGAGTGAGTGAGTTTTGTCAAATCCTTCAGAAGACTCTTTTCTTTCAGTAACAGACATCTATTACTCTCAATAAATGATAAACTACAGATCAGTTCAGCTGCAAGTGACTGTACTGCAGGTTTGTCAGATTTCAAGAAGGTCGGTATAATGTCCTTTCCTCCTTCTTCACAGATGATCTTCTTATTTTTCTCATCAACTGCATAATGCTTTAAACTCTGGAGTAGATCCGACTGTGAACAACCAGAGCTTACATCATCATTTGAAGCAATCAGTGGGACAAGCTGGTTAAGTAACTGTGTAATCGCATGTGTTTTCTTAGCAGCTTCATATACAATACTTGTATCTGCTCTATCCCAAATTAGATAACCCAGTGCCATCACTGCCTTTGTCTTGACTACTTCATCTTCAGTAGAGCCCGGAACTTGCTTTAAAGTGTCAAACACAGACTCAGTTTTCATCTTCTTGTGGTTTTTCTCAACTTTTGCCATTGTGTAAACTTCATTGATGATCTCTGGTAAGTCCTACAAAAAATAAATATAGAATGTGGCACCACAAGTGAATAAATTGACATGATGTGCTAGCATTATTGGAGAATATACAATATATACAAATAATCCTTGTTTTCATATGAATGCTAGCTGACCCATGACTAACCAATATGAGATGTCCATCTTAAAATGTATACTAGTACCGTAGTGTATAGCTTTGGTAGAATGATACTGCTTGTCAATATGTTATTAGTGTTATGACATCAAATGTCAATTCAGCCAAATGCAGGGAATGGGAAACAATGAAAATGACTTTTTTAACTGTTCCTGTTGTGATACATGTACATCACTTTTCCAACTTCTACCACCACCCCCAAAAAAGTGTAATGAGGTAAACAATCAGGACACATAACGATGTATTTTTTGTGTATGTATTTGAGTAAATTTTATATTTTTGCTGTTGTAATACAGTAAAATTTATATTACGGTACAAATCACATCCTCAATCAAAGTCGTGCACATTCTTTTTGAAATATTGAGTACCAAAAATTCACCTTTCTCATATGTGTAGATGCTTTAATAAAACCCCATTCCTAGTATGATTTATTTTAACCACATTATTTACGTAAACATATCTGTGTTATCGCTGGGTCACGACAATACTTAGCCATCGTGGAGACTGGATTGTTATGTTATTAGTAATATTTGAATTTATCATATATATCATTATTAAAAAATTCCACATTAGATAGGTATCCTACTTCATTATACTTATTGTTTCCTTACATCATCCATCGCTATAGGGTTGCATAATATTGTAATTTCAGATTTTAAGTAGTTACTAAAGGCTAATATAAATTACATTAGCCATATTCAGGGGTTTTCTAGAAAAAATTAACAAGAGGGAGCACACACAGGCGAAGGAGCGGAGAGTCCAAGCTAGCACAGAAACAACATGACGAATCAACCTGGAAACGGCATATCAGAAGGTTTCTGCGCTGTTTTAATAGTGTATCAATCGCCATTGAAATATTTTATATTGTGATTTTAGTGTATTTGGTGTCCAGACACATTGTCAGCTGGTGTTGCTGGGAAGTTTTCAAAGAGAAAAATATATTTGAGAAAGATTTCATGTTGTACGACAGCACGGAAGTGCGCGGCTCAAGAAATATATTTTATGACTTGAAAATTCAATCGGCAATTCAGTAAAAGAGCGCCAGCCGAGAGTATCAGGGCACTGCGCCACTGTTCCCCCATTTAGAAAAACCCCTACATATTAGATCTCAGTAAGCTTTGGCTTACATGGCAGCTCAAAATCTAAAAAAAAAAAAAACAGCTTTACACATGTATTCATATAAAACATTAAAATTTGGTTTCAATGTTTATCATACATGTATTTCCAGGAAATCACACTATATGCATTATAAAGTCACCAAGATAACGTTGTTGATATTTTCTGTAACTAACAACATGCAGGTTGAAAATACTTGAGGCAAATCTATCCTCATTAATGAACTAAGTACACTGAGTCATAATGAATCATCTATGTGCAGAAATTTGCTACAAGCATTACATATTTTTTACTAGAGGTGTTTGTGATTTCAAAACTTTGTGAGGAATAATTTTACGAAAAGCACTCTGAAACAACATTTTTGAAAAATGTTATTAATATACTTACATCTTTGTTTCTACTCACTAAGGTGCCATCAGTGCTATCAGTTGCCACCAAATGTGATAATTTATCAAGTGTTTCTTCACACCTTGTTTTTCGAGATCCACTTTTTGATGAAGGCCTGTTTTTCTCACTTGTATTTTCCACCGTCTTGGTAGATGTTTTCCCTTTTTTTTTCTCATTTGACTTCAGAGAATCAGGTCTGTCTTTCTTACTTGAATTTTCCACTGACTTGGTGGATGTTTTCTCTTGTTTGCTCTCACTAGATTTCAGAGAATCAGACTTCATATAAACATCTTTGGTGGATGATTTAGGATTTTCTACAGCATCTTCAGGTACTTTTGCAATTTCGGTATCTGGATAAGAATGTGGTCGCTGTAGTTCTTTGTCTTGGCTTCTTCTTTTTCTTAATGTCTTCAACATCTTGTTGTTGAAAGAAGCAGCTACATTGGCAATGATAGAAATGAGTCAGTACTACAATACATACATACATGTACACTGTGATTAACATATTATAATTTAATATATTAGAACAAGTACATGTAACAAGTACATCCCCATCGATCCTCATTTTAATGCAAAATGACATATATTGTTGAAGAGTCCATTAACAGGATGGGGGTGATGGACAGTTTTATGAAACATTCTAAATTTATTGTTCAGGAATACTGACAGCTAGACAAAAGGTGGCACAAAATGACCTACTTAAATAATATATTACCGGTATATAGGATTTTTAAAATAAGAGTTGCAACTGATTATGTTGCAGGTGTATTGCAATGAGGATATATACAAAATGTTACCTAATACATTGGGAGATTATTATTTTCCCTCTGCCAGAAAGTTTAAAAAAATTAAGAAATAAAGTCAAGGTTTTCAGAACAATGAACTGAAAAAATATAAAGAGAAGCAGATTTCTTTTTTTCAAGATCAGCAAATTAAATACAAATTTTTGAAACATGCACTATTTAAACTTTTAGGTATGTTGCAGTTCAATGCAGAAACCGCCATTGCTTTCTGTTGTTGTTTGTCAAACAGTTTATGTACAGTTATAGACGCCATACAGCCAATTTAAATATTTATGTGCAGTTTACGACACCATAAATTTACAAAGTAGCATGAGTAAACAGTGGCAGCAAAAATCATCTTCACTTTTTACCATCCTGCATAAACTATTTCTGTTTATTTGTTACACAAATTTGTTCAAGTTATCACATCAAGGCAGTTACACAGTGCCATAAAACATAAACCTCACGTTACCAAGTAGGGTTGCACTTAAGCCAGATATGTCAACAGTTCGGAAGCTTGTAAACAATATCCACATGACAACTGCAGCGTCACAAATACTAACTTGTATATATATTTGAAGTATTAGATCCTTACTGATTAATAAAATTATTAGTAATTTCTTATTTATCACTAATATACGTGTACAGAAGTAGTTATTATTGTTAATAAACATTCATTTAACAGTTATTTTTGTTATAAATTACAAATATGGCTAAACATTTATCAAGGACAATATTTTCATTCTATTTGACTGCTCATACATGTATTTATAAGTGAAATTACAGTCACACCTACAGAAGAAGAAACTGTGGTTAAAACAAAACAAAAAAATTCTTGCTATTTATTATTCATAGCAAACCAAAGTTATTTAAAATTGTTGTGTTTTTTTTCAGCCAAGCTGTCGAGTACTTGCTAAGCAAAACTAAACTACATGTACCCTGGAGACAACATAAAAACTTTATTTATAAATGTACTCTACTATATCACCAGGTGATTGATTGGTCTGCATATCACAGACAGTCAATTTATGGTCAACTCTGTCAATGATGGCATTCCCTGCATTTATTTACATGTACCAAAACAACCTTCTTGTCTGCAAATGTTGTCTGCTAGTAGTTCTTGCCTATATGTTATGTAACACACCATTGGATAGTACATTGTATCTTGTGTGTGACTGTAAATGTACTAATATTTTCAGTGTACCAAGAATACATTATTGTAATTGGGTGATACCCTGTTTTAATTTATGCAAGCCATAAAATGATGGACATCACAGTTTGTTAAAAAAGAAGTCATTTTATCAAAAAAAGATAGGTGTAACCAGTATAATGATCTACCGTCTGTACTGGTTTGCATCACTACTGTCAAATTTGCCAAACCTGTTCAATACGGTGGTGTGTACAGCAAATGAAATTTTACAAAAATAAGCTTATTATGATGATGAAAGCAAAAAATACAAATTTCAAACGCTATGAACTACAAATTTAATGCTGATCTAATTTAATAAATAGCAATAACACTGTCAAAGTTGAGTATAGACTGTACCACTCCATATATTGCACGGAGCATGCAAATATGTTGTGAATTATTTAATATCTTGTGGTATACGCATCCTCTGCACATTATCACTTAAATCATGGAAGGTAATGGGAGAGGAGAGAAGATGAGTTTTAATCCAAATTTACATCTTTTGTTTCAAGCCATTGTCTATTTTTTGTCTTCTCAACCCTTCATCGCTTTTCTTTATTTACTCAACAAGATGGGTTGGACTCACGATTTTTGGGACTGAAAAATAATCATGACCCCCCACTTGCTATGTGCATTTGATAAGAAGCGGCATTTTACATGCGCAGAACAGTCTACATGATGTCATTGGCAAAAGCTGCCAACAGAAATACTAGATAGACTGCTTTGTTCTTGTAGTAAAATTGTTTCAGTTTGAAAACGGAAAAAACACAGTCTGTTGTCACCTGAAGTATTTGAACGGTCCAAGTAGGGATTTGTACCAGACATATTTAGATACGGGGTAAGGTCAGTCGATTGTAAGTGCTATGCAATGTTGAAAAAACAGTTTGGCCATTTTGTTTCCAGTATAATCATGACAAACTGACTTTTAAATATATTATACTTTATTTTAGCTGGAATTAATTTTCGCTGAAAAAGACTTTTTAATTGTTCACATATTACAGTGAGGAAATATGTTTACCAAGTAAATAAATCAAAGTGGTCATGGAACAGGAAATAACAATAGCGTCCTCTCTCCTATCCTATTACATGTACTTTCTATGCTCAAATAATGTTTACAGAATGTGGGAATGATTCCACACATTGTCTTGTCTCCACTCACAGAGGCCAGAGATGTGAGAATAACTTTCTGTAGAGTAAATGCAAATGACACATTTTTACTCTATACTATGCAAAGCATCATGTTTATTCGATAATGAGACAGTAAGTAATATTTATTGACATGACACTGACAGAAAGTACTGCAGTATAAAGGTCTCTCCAAAAAATCACGATTGAATTTAGTACCTGTTCTAAAAATATATTCACTCGACAGAAACCATTATTCTTGTGTCAAACGGAAGAAGCGGGTCTAAACTACCTTTAATAACTTATACTGGTCAAGAAAAATCCAACGTCGCTGAAAATAAATTATAAACTTTGTTAATCGACCTAAACTTAAAAGGACGAGATCATGGCCATGAATCACAGAGGTGCAACAGTGGTTTTTAGATTGTGAATGTAATGCACTGCCATGTTCTTTTTATGACATTTTTTGAGAACATCCGTAAAATACTTACTTCAGCTTTTACTTTGCCGCTTCAGCAGTATCTTATTTACACATATTGAAAATATAGATTCATCTGCGAGAAAATTGTCACCTACTGCTTGAAGAAATTCCTATACACACAAACGGACATCGGACATCCCTGCTACCAAAATATCTCTAGTCAAGGTCAAAGGTTAGCGATCATGTGACACAACGCAGCTTATTTTATTCATAGTGTGGGGGTTGTGAACTAATATATGAAGCTTCTCTGAGTGTAATACAACAGTTTTGCGCAAGGAATTTAATTTTCTATTTAGTATATTGGCGAAAAGTGTATGTTACACTTTATTGGAATGCAAATCATTGTATGGAGGCAGCATATCCGTCGAGTTACCCCTTTTTGAAAATAGTTTGTCCCTTAGCGCCATGTTGAAACTTCCCAACATCGAGGAAGTCAACGTTGTCAAATGTCGTTCAGGTTATCGGTCTTTACCGTTTGCATTTGTGTCGTGATTTGGTTGACTAGACTTGATGCCAAGAGAGAGACGTCTCCCCAAGAGATTTAGGTGTAAGTATAGGCAATATCAGAAAGTCACAATTTCCATTCTTTTGATGGGAATTGGTCGGCATTGCTTGTAAACAAAACAATGTGAAACGTGCCCACGCTCAAGATTTCATTTAGTCACGATGATATCAAATAAATTCTCATTGTTTGGTGACTTCTACCAGTTGCTGAATTGAAACATCACATTAAATGTAAAGTTAGAAAATATATATAGAAATCATGCAAAACCAATATACAGGGCTTATGTGATTGTCAAAACATGCAAAACAAAACAGAATTATGAGGAAATTAACATTTCCCAATAATACATGTATGTCGTTACCTGAATTTTGATCATGTATTTCATGTTTTTTTTTTATACAACTCATTTTCGTTGACTTTTGTCTATAGCCAAATACTTATGTGAAAGATTCAGGAAATGCTAGTATAGAAGTCACACAGATTCCCTTTGCACAGACCCAACTGAACACTGTAAATCATGAAATCCTTTGTTCAAATTTCACTGACTTATGAAAAAAGCAAAATCCTAGACTTGTTTACCTTGTTTACATGACTGCATTTTATTGGAGCCTAACGTCTTGAGCCAGAAACAATCTGTGTGTAAACAAGTTTGGCTTAACCCAGCTGATAAATCTTGGGGTTGAGTTCTCATACGCCTGGCCCTGCATCAGGCCGAAATCATGCCTTCTATCCAATAATCAATCACAGTAACCAGGAAGCATACATGTTAGTTCTATGGTTATAAACAATACAGTTATACCAAAGCAAAATAACAGTTGATTTCTTGAGAACAATTTCCCTGGATGTGCTCACATTGATCATCAAATATCATGTTGCAGTGGATTTTGAAGCCATAATTGTGTGTGTCCTTACTATTTATATCTACCAATTATTGTCTCATTCTAGTATTCAGATACATGTAGGTCTCCCCTAGTTTCTGTTTAACTGTTCAAACATAACCATATTCAAAAATCAAATTAAACTGATCGTTAGTACCGACTCTTCTCGCAATTCAGATTAGTTGGGAAAAACTTGAGGAAGACACCATTCCAATGATGCACACTGTGTCTTCACCAAGATTTTCTATGTAAATACAGAATATGTGGAATAGAAACAGTATATTGAAGTCCGCCATGTTGGACACTTCTAACATAACAAATCCATATTCCAAAGAAAGTAGGACATTTTAATCCAGCCTAAATGATGACATTTTGACTGTGCAAGCAAACCAAATTTTTATCTTGTTTATATATACAAAAAAAAATTCGGGCTAGCCTTGGGCACACTAAAACAGTACAGTGAAACAGGCTCTTAAAATTGTATTTAAAAATGAAGAGCAAGCTCAGTGAGCTTCCATGTATCGAGGATTCATTGTCTGGATACTACTGTAAATTGAAACAAAATCAGAATAGAAAAAAAAAAAAAAACATTTTCTCAGATGAAAAAACTCTTACATGTTTATATTTTGTTTGTTTATCATATAATACATGTGTATTCTTGTTGTCTAAATGCAGCTCTGAAGTCCCAAAAGTCCCAAAAAACATGCTACACCTTTAATACAGACCAGTACTTAGTGCAAGAGTTCTTTCTAAGCTTTCTGTGATTTGATTTGTTGTAGCTTCTGATGATAGTGATCAAGAGGGTGGCAGCAGTAGCATAGATCATCATCAGAAGAGTCTTGCTACAAATCAACCACCAAGTCCAAGTAAGAAGAAAAAGAAAGTTATTAAAGAGGTAACAAGGTTTCTATCAGCTTCTAATTAATAATTGATTAATTAACCACTAGCTAAATCCCAGAACTCTTGTGTGCCATCACCTGTTGCTAATATTTTGTTTTTTAACTAATTCATATTCAGTTCTCCATTGTTGTCATCTGCAGAGAGAGCTGCAAAAGAGAGTTGTTGAACTAGCCAACATCGACAAACTCACATATATTAAATGGAAATACATAGTTTTATTGAAAAACATCAGAAATACTTGCACATAATTGAGGAACAATATTTTAATGTTTTTTACTAAAATGCTTTGAGATTAATGCTAAAATTTTCAAATGAATTGTTAACACTGACCAGCTGATTGTATGGCAATCATAAAAGTAGTACTAGGCTGAATGAAAATATAAAATAGCACCAATCACTTGACTGACATTTGGAACATGGAGTAACACATGATATTTACACTCCTTATAACAGTAGAAATCGTAGATACCGGTAGCACACTTGCATGCATGATAAAGTATGATAATGTCCTGTTAAAGTCGGTTAATGATCAGATGTTTCATTTATTTCTTGTACAGGTAGCCAGTCCTTTGCCAGATCTTGTTTCTTCACTCCAAGTATTAACTCCAAAACCATCAATTGCTGATCGGTCTCCAATTATCAGTGTCGCTCGACAACTACCAAACAGCATGAATCAAAATACTGGAGTAAACAACTGCCCAACAAACAATTTCACAAACATGAACTCATTCAACCAGCAGCAGTCACAGCAGCCTCTGTTGACAAATGTTGCTCATTCTGGTTCCCAAGGTAACATACCATTGCAGCCAATCATTATTAACCCTAATGATCCAAATGCACCTGCCATCTATCCGTGTGGTATCTGCCACAGAGAAGTCCATGACAATGATGACGCCATATTGTGTGAAAGTAGCTGTAATTTCTGGTTCCATCGGATATGTACAGGAATGACAGAGGCCGCATATACGCTACTAACAGCTGAACAGTCAGCAGAGTGGGTGTGTGATATGTGTATTGGCAAGAAGAAAAAGGTTCCCATGACAAGAATGAAATGTAAATGGTAGCCTGTAACCACTCGGAATGAACTGAATATTCAAACTATAAACATTGTCTTGAATTGTTTACATCAATCATAAATCCAAATATTAAGGCTTACTTACAAACTTGCCTCAGACTTTAAACTGGTAAACTACATCAATACTCTTATCCAGTCAGGAGGTGCTAGTACAATGTATCCAGTTTGGAGGTGCTAGTACAATGTATCCGGTCTGGAGGTGCTAGTACAATGTATCCGGTCTGGAGGTGCTAGTACAATGTATCCAGTTTGGAGGTGCTAGTACAATGTATCCAGTTTGGAAGTGCTAGTACAATGTATCCAGTTTGGAGGTGCTAGTACAATGTATCCAGTTTGGAGGTGCTAGTACAATGTATCCAGTTTGGAGGTGCTAGTACAATGTATCCAGTTTGGAAGTGCTAGTACAATGTATCCAGTTTGGAGGTGCTAGTACAATGTATCCAGTTTGGAGGTGCTAGTACAATGTATCCAGTTTGGAGGTGCTAGTACAATGTATCCAGTTTGGAGGTGCTAGTACAATGTATCCAGTTTGGAGGTGCTAGTACAATGTATCCAGTTTGGAGGTTTAGATTGAACATTGGGTCTATTTAGGCTTTAAGGGGGAGCCTATTCAAGTTAGTGGGAAGTTTTTTATTGCATCTAGGTTGTGGGTTGATCACATTGAAGGGAAAATATTTATAAAAGTCTATATACTTGTGAAAGGGAGTGAACTGAGTTAGTCCCAGACTTTTTGACTGCTGTGTGCATCTTTGAATCAAATCTAGGTACAGGTCTATTGATTATGTAAAATTTAAATTTATATTGGTCTTGTGTTTACTAAATACCCTAATGCCAATTTAAATTCAAAAGACAAATGCCTCAAATTTTGTGAGTCAAGGAAAACTGCCATCATTTTTTTTAACTGGTAGCAGTGAATATTTCATTTTGAGTATTTAAGACAGTGAATTTACAGTACTTTAACGTTGGTACACAATATCTTAAATTTGTTTGTGACTTGAAGTTAGAGACAAGGAAAAATCTCTTAAATATATACAGTTTGTGTGTCATATTGCATTCTTTATTTAATTTACTGTGAATGGTGCATTTGGTGTATAATTCAGTTTATTTTGAAAAACCCAGATAAACATTCCCACCGTACTAGATGTACCTGACCAAGCTGAGTGATGGACTATAGAAAATTATAATTTGTTTCAAATTTATTTTAACCATAAAATTGAACAGAATGCAGTCATTCAAGACAAGGTCCACATAATATACAGCGCAGGGATAATTGCTTTCTCAAAACTCATTTGGACAGTAATCAAAATTAATCAAAGGCAAAACACTGATAATTTCTGGAATTTTGAATTCATATATTTGCCATGTAGTTGCTAAAATGGATAGAATTTATTTATATTAGAAGTGAAATTGAGATTGGTCATCATATACAGTTCAAGTTAAATTTATTATTAAAATAATTTAAAACAAACAAGTTTTTCAAGAGATTTATTGCATCTTTAGGACTTGGTGAGCATATTTGATGTTTATATTGATTACTCATGATCATTCATTGGTTTAAATATAAGATATGGTTTATTAAGTTTATTGTATAGGGTTAATTGTTTATCACACATTGATCTGATTGAAACTCATTAGAGATTGTAGACCCGATTTCAAGCCTGTGTCTCTGCCTGTTTTTTTCTTTTTGCTGTTATTGGTATGTTGCCCATTACTGATACTTATTATCTCATTACAAGAAGCTCATCGGTTGCCCATGAGTGCACAGACTGTGTCACAGTAGTGTAGCAGCAAAAGACTGCGACCAAGGCTATAGACTGATTGAAATTGATTATCTGATTGAAACTTGTTAGACAATACTGTCGATATCACCATACCATGTACTTTCTAAGTGAGTGAAGAACCATATTTCTGTGAAGTT